AAATCCCCGCTCCGGGTGAGTATACCTGCTGCGTGCTATTAGAGCCTCGACGCTGCTCAAGAGATTTGTTGCGCTCGGAGGCCATAACTTCCGAACGGCTGCGAATTTCGATTTAAAACGTTGGGAACATATTCTTACAATGTTAAATAAACATTTTATGCAAAAAAAAAAAATTCGATTTTTTGAAAGTTCTAATTGGATTTCCCCCCTTAAATCTTTATGTCTATCTCCTCGAGATCTCTGATCGGAGAGAACTTTGATTACAATACATACTGTAACTCGAGACATTTTTTAGGTATCTTTCAGTTATTCAGATGTCAACAACTATCGAACCCGTACAGTGGTTTTAACTTACAAGGGGGGAACCAGGTGACTCACCCTGGGATTTTGACCCCAATTTTTTTAATTATTCTGGAGATGAAAAAAGAAAGATGCGTGTCCCGGCGTTTGATAGAATAGGCCTTAGTTTCGGAGTAATAAATTTGTGAAAATTAGTCATATCCGAAGCGCACCGCGGCGCGCTATATGAGCCTTCCCGATAACTGTACTTCCAACCAGTGCAGTTGGCTTCGTGAGTTAGGTGCTTGCTTCATAATTTGTAAAATCTAAGTTCGCTCACGGAGGTGAGCAATAATTTTTTTTTTGATGAGTGTTTTTATTTATTTTTATTTATTTTGATGATATTGATATAGTATGCAAATTTTTGAAATAGAAAATTTAATTTAATATCACATTCTAAACCTTAATTTAAATTTAATTTTAAGGGAGTTTTAATTCAAGTAATAATATTTGAAATAATAAATAAGTAATAATAATAATATATAAGTTATTTGTAATGGATAACATATAAAGGCAACGTATCTAAATTTTCAAATTGTTTAAGTTTAAAATTTAATTGAAAATAATATTAACATTATTTTAAATTTCTATTTTTTAAAATAATTAATCGTAGAAGAAGAAGAATAAACAAACATCTGAAATGTGAATGTGAATATTTTTATTACAAAATTCAATTATTT